TCCCTTTCTGTCTCTCTGGCCAGCACACTCACCCTCTCATCCTGCTGTATAAAATATATAAATGTTAGTATTATACAGAATAGGAAATGACATTTTAGACTTAATAGAGTGTCATTACAAGGTGTATGTTCTCTACGATCACTTACTGAGCACCTACTGCATAACCAAGTATCTCCTTGGGGGAGGGTCACCTACATCAAAACACAACCCTGGGGCCGGCAGGTGGCGTGGTGGTTAAGGGAGCTGGACTTCCACACACATGGCTGACCATGGTTCAAGTCCCTGGACCTGGTGGCTTGCTTTCTTACTTTTCCTCTCTCTTTTTCTCTCTCTCTCTGTCCCTCTCTAGTCAAATTAAAATAAGTAAAGTTAAATAAAGTGATTCTTAAAAAATAATAATAAATGAAAAAAAGAGTGTCTGGTACTTAGACATTCTATAAAATAAAAGAAAATAAAAAAATAAAAAAACATCCCCGGCCATTGAAGAACTCAGGAGTAACGCAGAGATACTGGGAACAGCTGTGCAGCGGCCTGCACCCTGGGGACTGTGGACAGGCTGCTGTGGAAGCCAGCCAGGGAGCCGCAGCCTAGGCAACCGCAGAGTGCGAGCGTGGTGACGGGTGGCTATGATCATCAGGGGAAGGCTGTGCGTACAGAAGAAGCAGATGAGGCTTTTATTTTGGGGGGAAATCCTGATGACACCACAGGGAGGCATTCGGCAAGGAAGAGGGGGGTTCAGAGGATGGAAGCATGTGGTCTGAAACAGGAAGATCAGGCGCGAGCTTCCAGAAGCGAGAACAGACTGAGGCGACAGCAGTGTGAATGTTAGGACGACTGAGTGGCCTTAAACCACACAAGTGGGAAATAAGGAATTGGGGAAAGGGCAAGGAGATCTGAGAGCAGCGTATGCAGGTCCAGAGGCTGAGTCCAGGCGCTGACAGGAGCTTTATTTAGGAAGTTCTTGGGACTGGTTTTGGCGGGATGAGTGGGACCTACACTGCAGGCAGGGAAGTGGCAGAAAACAGAACTCTGGGCCTGCCAGCAAAGCTGTGGGGAGGGCTTAGGTCACAGAATGGGACTCATTAAAAGTCAGGAAAAAGCTGATACAGATGATGAGCAAGAGCATTCCACCAACACTGGAGGAAACAGCTCCCAGCCTGCAGTGGGACCCTTAGGCCTTTGGCCTCAGCTCTGCTACTGTCAGGTTGAGTATCCTTCGAAGGTGGTTTAACTTCTCTGAAGCATCCTCATTTGTAATAAAAATCTCAGAAAGCGTAAGGGTTCAAGGGGAGCTGTCTATGAGATGCTATGCAAATGTTAGAAATGGATACACAGGGCCAACAGAGGCGTGGTTGTTAGGGCAGCTGGATCCCACATGGCTGCCTGTACAAGTCCTGGACATGGAGGCTTGAAAAACATGCCAGGTGGGTGGGTGTGTGTCTAAAACCCCGAGGGGGGAATGGCGGGGAAGGGATTGCGGTGTGGCCCTCTCCCCTAAGGGTTGTTTCTCACGTTCCCTCTCTCTCTCTGTCTCTCTGTGGCAAATGCACTCACCCTATTGGGAAATTTTAAAAAGAAATTGATACACAGTAAATAGGGACTAAAGCCATGCCTAGGTCTCCTTAAACACCCTCAGCTCTCCCGGGGCATCAGCACACCTGTAGACATACGGTAAGTAGGAGTGGTATACGTATGTATAAAAGATTTCACTGAAGGCGCAAACATTAACATTAAATGGCAATAGTTTGAAGGTCAAAAAGATTTGGCTTTTGTTCGGGTGTGCGCCCCAGTGGCACAGTTGGGCTATCGTAGCTGACAGGTTCATTGTCCCCTACCTGGCCCCGATCTCGAACGTGACCCCTGGAGGTGAGCACACCTCCTTTGGTGATGGTTGTCTCATACAGTATGTACCCGAAGGACTGGCCGCTCCCTTGGTTCACAGGCAGCATCTCCATGGACATGGGCTTGGCAGACTTGACTGGCTGCAGGAAAAATGAGAAAATCCCAGCCCGAAGGTTCCGCTTGGACAGAAGAATCTAGACCCCTGCACCCAAAGCCCACTTCTCTGTAGGAACAGCCCCAGAGGCCTTCCAGACAGTATAAAGAGAGAAATGCGATGATGGTCATGGCAGATACCTTGACCTTTTTATTTTCCAAAACCACCTCATGTTTTCCTGCATGTGCTAACCTTATTTTTTATATTGCAGAAGCCGAAGTCAAGGAAAGAGAACGAGCTAGGGGCCTGATCAGCTCACAGTAAAGTCAGAACAGACTCCTGACCGCAGGAGTCCTGGCCAGGTGTGCCTGCATCTGTCTACCCTGGGCTCGCTCATCTTCTCTTCTGCTACATAGGAGAAATCATCCCAGCCCGCGGGCAAACCATAGCTGGCCACGATCATTCATAGATCTGCGAATCGAGCGCTCATGCAAAGGTCTCCATGTGTCTTCACACTCCTGTCTGCTAGACTCCCCCAAGGCCCACAGACGTTCCCAGTGCAGTCACTCGATCTGCACCCATCATAGCATGTCCCCACCCCACTCTTTTCCTTTAAAAAGAGCAATACTTAGGGCCAACAGGTGGCATGGTAGTTAAGGTTCTGGCTCCCACATGGCTGACCATAGTTCAAGTCCTAGACCTGGTGGGTTGAAACTTACACTGGGCATATATACATATATGCCCAAAATCCCAGGAGGAGAATGGAGGAGAAAGGATTGTGGCATTTCCATTGTCCCTGGGAGGTAATGTCTCACCTTCCCTCTCACTGTCTCTGTCTCTCTCTCTGGTGAGCACACATGCTCTGTGGCAAAATCCTTACAAAAATAAAACCCAAAGAGCAACACTGGGCAGCCAGTAACTTGGTGGTTAAGGGGGTCAGCTTCCACATAGCCAACCATGGTTCATAGCTATTTTTTTTTTAAAGAGCTCTTATCTTTTGAGATACATATTATTAAACTATTCACAGTTGAAATTAAATGATGCTAGGACCTGTTTTAACATAATCCTGTGACGTGTCAGAAGGGCAGAGTAGGATGTGGACGAACAAGACTAGCCATGGATGGGTAAGGTCGAAGCTGGGTGCTGGGCACAAGGACTTGCTGCTATTCTCAGTAAGGACTCCACAGGAAGAAGTTCAAAACGAAACCACTAGGGCCTCCCGCTGTGTGGTGCCCAGCTTCCTCGCCAGCCTCCCCACAGACCTTCTGCTCTAATCCTAACTGCAGCTCCCCAATCAGGCAGTCTCCTCCACGCCTCTGCAAAGGAGTCCAACTCCTTGTCTCCCCCTGTGCCCTGCTGTCCTCCCATCAGCTCATCCCCCTCGCTTGGAATGTTATCTTAGACACCGGGGTCGCCCAGCACTCTGCCTCTATGACAATAACGGCAGGTGACACATAGGTGGCACTTGGTTACTAGCCCACCCCTACACAGTTCTGTGCGGGAGGCAGTTATCTGCCTCATGCCACAGAGGAGGAAACATGGTAGAGTGAGTTCAGTGACCCCACCTCCCCACCCCAGGTCTCCACACTGGAGATACCAGCGCAGATTCAAACCCAGACCCCCTGACTCCAGAGCTCGTGCTCTGCAGCACAGCCCCGTATTCCGAAGACGCTGAGCTGCCTGCCTTCCTCTGCCGGAGGACCTGCGGCCTGCCAGTCACTACTAACTCACCTCTTTACTCACTGGACTGGGAGGCGCCCAGTGCAGCATACACATAGGGTAGGTCCCCGAAGCTGAACACTCAGCACACTGAAAAGCACGTGATTGCTTTCCTAGATCAGTGGTTCTCAAACTGGGTTCTCTGGAATGTGTGAGCAGCCCTAAGCAATGACCAGCCCATGTGTCTATGCCTAGGAAATGCGCACCTTGTCCATATAGGGCAGGATATCCCACAGTGACAGGAAGTGTGACAGAGTCAATGACTTATACGCAGTCTTTGGTGCATCTTCTGGTTGGACGGACGTGGGAAGTTCTGCGATGTAAAACAGCCGGTTAGGTCCTGCCAGGAGCCTCTCCCACCCCCACGTAAGGGCACCAGGCACCTTCGATCCCAGAGCCATCAGGAATGGAGGCCCCAGTCAAGAGTACGATTCCCAACAAGTCATCGGACAGGCAGTGACTGAGCGGGACTCCTTTCCTATCTATAGCTGAGTCAGGGTGCCCTGCTACCCGGAAATGGAGGGGTGCACCCATCCCACTGGCTGGGCCTTTGTTCTCAGATCGCTGTGCACAGAGTCTCCTAGAGCCAGCAGGAAAACCGGTACTCCGATGTTCCCCCTCCCACTCATGGCAACCAGACACACAGCTCTGGGGAGGGCCTGGGACTCCTGGTTCTAGAAACACCAGTCAGAACTCTGATGCACTGCCAGGACCAGGCAACATGGCATGGTGTTGGAAATCTAGAAGCAGATGCTGTGTCTTTTGCATATTTGACTCACCAGTACTGAGCGGTAAAACAAACTGGGGCAAACTGGAAATCCCCCCTGTAGAAAATCTCCACCCATTTTCTCACTTCCCTCTTCATGGGATGTACACTGCAGGAGAAGGCTGAGTTATCACTGAGATAGAAATTGTTGCTCAGTACCTAGAACAGAGCTAAAATACTCCTGGAATGTGAGATACTCGGGCGTGTATGCTCCATCCTCTGTCAGCAGTGCCCCATAGTCTGAAAAATACCCCCCCCAAAAAATAAGTCATCCTCCCCAGTAACATCCCAGCTTCAACTTTTTTCCCCAGGAACACATGAGAGTCGAGTTCTAGAAAAAGAATCCTTAACGGTAGCTTTGTAAGAACAACTTTGGGCATTAAATAAGAAAATACCACATCTCAGTCCAAACTAGGAGCTGTCTGCGAGCTTTCCAGGACTGTGGATGGGGAGCAAACAGTACCAGTCCATGGGTACCAGGCCTGTGGATAGGGAGTAAACAGTACCAGTCCATGGGCACCAGGACTGTGGATGGGGAGCAAACAGTACCAGTCCATGGGCAAATCCCGCTGCGAGCCCCAGCTGCTCTACTCTCCCTAGTCTACTTCTGATAGAACTCCTTTCTTCCTTTCACCCTGAGTTCCACGTGGCCTCTTACTAGACTTCCAGACTTAGGAAGACACACTCATTGATAACCCTGGAGCTACCATGAGACTCGAAGCCACTGGTTCTGCGAGGGAGTCCTACACACAAGGTCTGAACAGCCATGGGCAAGGTTAGGCTACCGACATCTCTGCCTGTGATGTCCCGGACAACCTAAATTCTAGAGATAGATCAATTCTAGTCCTGGCAAGCAGAAGATATATCAAATCCACAGTCCTCAGCAAACATTAAAAGGCAAAACAGATGAACAGTTCCTGGGGCCAGCATGTGGCATGGTGGTTCAGGTGTAGATCCCACGTAACTGACTCTGTGGTTTGGGTCCTGGACAAGGGGGTTTGAAGGTGCATGTACGTGTATCCCCAACACCCTGAGAGGAGAATGGAGGAGAAGAGATTGCAACATGGCCATCCCTCTAGGGGTGATTTTTCACTTTCCCTCTCTCTCCACAAGCACATTCATCCTATGGCAAAAATCTAAAAAAACTAAACTAAACTAAACTAAAAACTAAGAAGCAGAGAGCAATTCCAGAGTGTTCTCAGAGCCCTACCCTAAGAGGCTCCCATCTCAAATGATGGGGTGATCCAGGCTGGAAACAAACCCGGGGCAAATACTTGCCATAGCTGGTGACCCCAGGGAGGTAGGTGTTCAGAAACACAGCTCCGCCCATGAAGCCGAAGTTGGTGCCACCGTGAAACATGTAGAAGTTGAGGGAGAACCTGAGCTTGAACATTTCCTGCACATCCTTCTTCAGCACTGCACAGAGGGTGGAAGAAAAGGAGGCCACGGGGAGAGAGGGAATGCTGGAGAGAAGTCATAGCCTCTTGGGTATTTTCGAATCAACTATATCTACATTATTCAAGATCTACCCAGATGTCATGGGCAGAAAATGTGTGAGATTAGCCAGAATGGACAGGAAAGCATTAGTGAAGCTGTTTCCAGGACCGTTTACATAACCCGAGGTCATGCATTACTTTCCACTCTGGGTTTCCCATTTTGGAAGGTATTTTTAGCACACACAAACCTTATGCATCAAACGTTTGCTTGTGCTTCTTTCCTTAAGTAAATACACACCCAGCCTACTGTTTCTGAAGTACTTACTAATGTCCAACAGTGACTGAGTTGAAATGAAAGGGACCAGGGACATTTACCACCAAGTCATTTTAATAAGTATCATCGCTCCTCCAGGGAAGACTGGGTAATTGATCAGTTAACCCTGCTCAGACGGCCTTCCCCTTCTACCCACTACACTGTTATTCGGTTTCTCTATTTTGCAGAGCAATTCATTCTGAATACTTTAATAGCTTTGACACGATACTATGAGAATGGAAACCCTGCCATGGTCCCCTCATGTGGTCTCTGGGGAGCTTGTTCTCTGCTGTCTTTTCCCTGCATAGATGTCTGTGAGGTCTCTGTAGAACCATGTTGATACTGTAAAATTGTAAGGTGCAGGAATATTGTCACTGTGATCTCAGGGACCCTCATAGCAGACAGCAGGCCAGTCCCAGGAGTGTCCTGCGTTCTCCTGAGGATGGGACCGAGGAGTACTCACTATGCGGGTCTGCAGCCTGGCGGATCATACCCCACTTGTCAAAAGAGCTTGCTGTATACACCATCATCAGGATGGGGCTGAGGCCCTGAGAAACATCAAGCATCGATTTAGGAAAGTTGATGTGATTCAGAAGCCCTGAGCTGCTTAGAAGAATTGAACCGGGGGAACCAGCAGTTAGCGTAATGGCTATGTCGCTGAACTCCCACGTAGTCGACCGCGGTTCGTGTCCCGGACCCGGTGGCTTAAAACTCACGCCGGGCGCGTGTGCGTGCGTGCCAGGATCCCGAGAGGAGAATGGAGGAGAAGGGATTGCGGCGTGACCATCCCCCCTGGGGGGTGATTTCTCGCTTTCTGTCTCTATGTCTCTCTCTGTCTGTCTGGCAAGCGCACGCGCCCTATAGCAAAAACCTCTCCAAAAAAAAGAAGAATTGAACCGGAGGCCCAGTCCTCACACACCTCCTTTGCAACTCCGAGCACCCCCTCCCAGCTCGCGAACTCTGAGTTCTAGATTCCCAATCCCAGGGCATTTTCCCAGTATCTGTGCGACTTGATGGTTTCACTGGTTTTCTTTCCATGCTTTGGTAAAATCAACTGCCATCCTACATTGCCCCTTGTAGGATTTTCTGGAAACAGAACCTTTTCATTCCCTGAGTGACTAAAGGTTCAACAAATATCCAACAGCGTTGAACACCACTAGGCGAGAAGTCCTCAGACCCAGGGGTTCCACACGAATGCCAGCCTCCGGGACGCCCTCTGCCCTCACCGCGTGATGGCCCGGTCCTGCCACCTCTGGTCCCCTGGGATTTTCTAGGCTCTAGTCCGGTATAGGCTGGACTCTGTCTTGGCCCTTTCAATCCTGATTCTTTAGTGACAGAAAGTTCATTGGTTCTCGTTTTTTAGAAGTTCATTTGTTCCGCGGACTTCCTGCTGCCATTACCGTCACCACCTCCAGCTCTGGGGCCACCGACCTGTCCTCCTGCTGTATCCACATTCGTGCCTCACCTGCCAAACGCTTCAAGGAAAGTCATCAAACACAGTCCTCCTTCCTGATCCACCTGAAAGTCATGGGACTCAGCCTTCGCTGTACCTCTGCCTGGCAATCTCTACATTTAAATTTTTAAAACTTCTATGGAAGGGCCAGCCAGGTGGCATGGTGGTTAGGGCAGCTGGATCCCACATGGCTGATTGCATGGTTCAAGTCTTGGTGGCTAGAAAAACATGCTGGGCATATGTGCAGGCCTGCCCAAAACCCTTAGAGGAGAATGGAGGAGTAGGGATTGCAGTGTGGTCATCCCTCCTGGGGGGGAGCTTTCTTATGTCCCCTCTCATGTCGGAGGAGGAGGGATTGCAGTGTGGTCATACCTCCTGGGGGGGTGCTTTCTTATGTCCCCTCTCATGTTCCTCCCCCATCCTTGTCACTCTCTAGCAAGTGCATGCACCATATAGCAAATTAAGACCAAAAAATTCCACTGAATTCCAAAAATAACTCTTAACTCTTTACGGTTAATTAAAGCAAGGACATGTTATTTAAACTAGCTCTCCGGATTGCAGTGTGGTCATACCTCCTGGGGGGGTGCTTTCTTATGTCCCCTCTCATGTTCCTCCCCCATCCTTGTCACTCTCTAGCAAGTGCATGCACCATATAGCAAATTAAGACCAAAAAATTCCACTGAATTCCAAAAATAACTCTTAACTCTTTACGGTTAATTAAAGCAAGGACATGTTATTTAAACTAGCTCTCCCTCTTCAAGCTCATAGAGCCAGCAGAGCCGTGATATGGTCTATTTGTATCCTTCAAAATTCATTTTGAAATCCTCACCTGCGAGATGCTGGTGGCAGGTGGGGCCTGTGGACAGTAATTTGGTGACAAGGGCAGCACCCTCCTGAGTGGGATTAGTGCCCTTGTGACAAGGGCTCCGGAGAGGACACAGTGAGAAGGTGCTGTCTGTGAACTGGCAATCGGCCCCCCCCCAGCCACTGGTCTGCCAGCATCTCGCTCTCAGACTCTAGCCCGCAGAACTGCTGGAAACACGTTCCTATCATACATAAGACGCTACTGGACGGGCCCCTGTTCTAGCTGCCCGCACAGACGCAGACGCCTACGCTCTTATACTAGAAAGGATTGGGGGCTTGAAGCTTCCTAAGATGTGACCTCTCACCTCCTGCAGGCATTGCCCTAAGTTCTGGCCCACGCGCAGGCACGGGGCTGCCACCTTCAGTCCTGTGCTATGAGGAATTCCTTGCCACTTGAGGAAGTCGATTATGTTTTTGGAGAATTCAAATCATTAGGAATAATAATCCTTATGATGAGCCAATATATGTTTCTTATTTATTTTTACTGACTGAAAGGAGTTTTTCTCTCCAGTATGAAAGTATTTCCATCTCACACAAATTCTCTAAAATCTTGATGATGCCACTGAATGCATCTTGTTTGTTTTGTTTTGTTGTGTGTGTGTGTGTGTGTGTGTGTGTGTGTGTGTGTGTGACTCATACCAATTCCTTTAGATTATTGTTACACTCTCCCCAAACCACATTTCCTGAGAGGACTTCACTTTGTTAGAACACCACCAATGACATGATAAACTAAGCAGGAGAATAACAATAATGATAACAACAGCAACAATGTGCTTCTACCAGCGGCAGAAGTGTGATAGTGTCATTTCTCCCAGTAAGACCCTACTTCCCAAAGTTACTGGCAGTTGGTATAGGTCTGGTTTAGTGAAGCATGTGGTCAACTAACTTCCACAAAGAAGGTTGGCCCAAGAACTGAACCCAGGCCCTCCCTTGTGGCCTCCAGCCTCCCAAGAGGTGGCACTATCTGTGTGCCACCACCGTGGGCCTACAGATGCATGTTTTAACTGAACTAATCACTACTGAGAATTTTCCCAAAAATGAACCAAGAAATCCCACCATAGCACCAGTCAACATCTCCCTTCTCTGGAATGCCCTTACCTGCATTGCAGAGAGATCTTTGTAAGTTCCTTTATTTATATTCTTCATGTGGACAGTGGCGAGCACTGTGGAGAGGGCAAGCATGACAGGGTGGGAGTGGGACATCATAGATGTGTCTCGTTAGCACACGGGGCTTGTGGCTGACAATACAGACACGATCCCACACTCCTATCAAATATGCAAGAGGCAAAGGGCCTTAGATCCACCCCTTCATTCAGCATTTTCAATGAAGAGAGATAAGAAGCCAATTAAAATAAGCCGCACTTTCCGATGAGCAAATGGTCAAAGGAAGAAACGGAGCCCAGAGAGGAGATGACCCGGGACCTAGCACTTGACAGCAGGTCTCCTGACTTCTCATTCAGACCATTTCTCTGACTCTCTCACTGCAAGAAGGGAAGGGCCACCAAGACGCCTGGGGGAGGGGATTGCAGAGGAGAACACACCCAAAGGCTCTGCACGGGTTAAAGGATTGCAGAAAGTGTTTTCTGGTTCCGCTTGCCTGGGTTTACCTCTTTCTATCTTCCTGCACAGCAAGCCTTGTTTCCTGCTTATGATCCTATTCCAGATTTCTCCCCAGCTTTTATTTCCTAGACGTATCACCCTGTGGGCCCCTGGGGTGGGATCCAAGATGGTACTCCTCTGACACTTCCTGTCACTCGGTCCTAGGTATTTGGCAATGACAGTGACCTCTCCTCAGGTCCCAGGCAGGCTCTATTCTGGACCACTGGGACTGGGGGTAGTGGGGAGGCAGTAAACATTCTGCACTGTTTACTTGGGGCTGACAGCCGGTTGGGCAGCAAGGCAGGGACAGACTCCTTCGCTCCACTCTGCACGCTAGTCCCCCCACTTTTGCTGAAAGAATATGGGGCCTCATTCGCCAGAAATGGGAAGGAAGCAGTGGAGGGCCTCCCACCAGCTTCAGACTTGGCAGTGGAGGAGATAGGCCAAAACCAAACTTACCATTTTTTAAGTGGCCTTTTGTCAGCTGCTGCCCGTCGTCAGCTGTCATGAGCAGTACCTTGATCCCTCTTGTCACCAGGGCCTGCGGAGAAACTCATAAGGTGAATGCCACCCCCAGCCCGTGTGCTGCTTCTTGGAAAATATTATGGCAACACAGACCCTAGAGTGGCCAGGAGAAATGGAGAGGATCTGATTCCCATCCAACTACTCGTAAGTAAGATGTGGGCAAAAGCATTATCCCTGCCTTGGTCACACTCAGCAAGGCCAAGGTGACAATAAAACTGCCAAACCTTGGGCCAGCCCAAGGCCTGCTGGTTCAGGCAGTTGGATTGACATGGCCAACCATGTGTTTCAAGTCCTGGGCCCAGTGGCTTGAAAAACACACAGGGGTGTGTGGGTATGTGTGCCTGCACAAAATTCCAAAAGGAAGGAGAAATGGAGGAGAAGTGATTGCAGCATGACCATACTCCATAGGGGTGCTTTCTTGTTTCTCTCTCTCTCTCTCTGCAAAAATGATGATGAACTATTTGTGATTTCAGACAGGCAACGAAAAATGATGAGAGATAAAAGCTCAAAATTTCAAGGTAAGGAAAAGAGCAATAAAAAGTAAGTTGAGGGAGTAAATCAAAATGACTACTAACGCTTTATGATAATACAAATAATGTCTTATGGGTCTAAAATATATAAAGCATTAAACAAGTAGTAACAGTAATACCAAAGGTGGGAAAAAGGAAAATGCAATTAAACTGATCTAAGGTGTTTGCTGTGTCCTGGCAAAGCAAACATATAAACTTAGATGCTAGTAATCTAAGGACAAAAACTGTAATTGTATGGCAAACATTAAAAGAAGAGTGAAAAATATATAATAAGTTATTAGATGAGAAAATTGGGCAATAAAAAATACTCAGTCACTACAAAAAAAAAACAACACAAGAAAGAGAAAATGGACTATAGAACAGATTGGGCATATAGAAAGAAAAGAACAAAATGCAAAATTTAAGTGCAAATAGATCAGTTACTACATTAAATGTAAACAAACCAAATATCTATTTAAAAGGCAAGAACTTATAAATTAACAAGAAGAAATTATTTCTATATACTTCTTATAAGACATGCACATTAAACATATGGATTCAGAAAGTTGAGAGTAAAATCATAGGAAAAATATATTATGTAAACATCATCCAAAAGAGAGCCAGGATATCCAAAGAAGAGTATTTTAATATCTTAATGTGACTCTTTGCTTTACATAAAGGTTGGGAAGGTATTTCCTACTCACCTCTCCAGAATGTAAATGCATGAAAAATGCTTTTTTATAGTATTAAAATGTTTTTATGTAATTTTACTTTTTTTACTTTTTTATTTTAGGTTTTTGCCATGGGTCATTTGTGCTCGCTGAAGAGACAGAGAGAGACAGCAAGAGGGAAAGTGAGAAATCACCTCCCAGGGGAAATGTCCATGCACAATCTCTTCTCTTCCATTCTCCTGGTATTTTGGGCACACAAGCACACATGCCCAGTGTTATTTTCAAACCACCAGGTCTGGGACTTAAACTATGGTCGGCCATATGGGAGTCCAGCACCTCAACCATCAGGCCAACTGCTTGCCTCTATTTTTACTTTTAACACACATGTTATCCCAAGCTTACACAGGGTTAGGATAATCAACATCACTGTCTCCCAATGCCATATCCTGTCCCACCAGAAAGGCCAGGATGAACAAAGCCGAGATAAACCGAGCCCAAGAGTAAAGAATGCAGTCAAGAGACACAGATGTGAGATGGGCAGAGCTGCTGCTAGCACCACATGCTCAGTTTTCTTTTCTTTTCTTTCTTTCTTTCTTTCTTCCTTCCTTCCTTCCTTCCTTCCTTCCTTCCTTCCTTCCTT